GCTTCCTATTTTGTCTTCACTTTTTGTTAATTTGTTTTTGTTAATCCAGAATCTGGAGTATTACATCCAGAAACAGACTCCAAACAGCTCCATCAGCAAGGACAACATTGTCAGACTATGCCTCACCTTTCACTTCATCTTTAATGGCCAAATATACAAACAAAATCAATGGCGCACCTATGGGGTCACTCATCTCAGGGCTTTTAGCAAAGGCAGTCACGCAAAGACTGGAACGCACTACCCTCCCCCTCATACAGCCAAAACTGTGGATCTGATACATGGACGACATGTTTGTCATCATTAAACGCACCAAGTTAGGAGAGATACACCATCTCATTAACAACGTTTTCATCAGGATCAAATTTATGAGATAAGAGGAAGACAACAATTTACTTCTGTTTCTAGACATCAGGGTAGAACGAATGACCAATGGGGAGTTCCAAACCACAGTGAATAGGAGGGCAACCCACACTGACCAAATCCTCAGTTTCCACAGCAATCACCCCAACATCCACAAACAAAGCTGTGTTAGGACACTATTCACTGCAAAATACCAGAAATATGCAGTGAGAAAGACGAGCGCCTACAAGGTCTTTGCTAACAACGGATATCCCAACAACTTCATCCATAGGTGCCTACTAAATGGACAACATTAAGAGGACACAGTACGCCCCAATACATTGGCCGTACTACCCTATGTCAAGAACATACCAGAACTATCAATGAGACTCCTACGACCACTAGCAATTACGGCAGCATTCAAACCCACAGTCACACTACAACAAACATTCACAAGGACCAAAGACTCCATACTCAAGACATGCAGGACAAACGTAGTTTACAAAATACCTTGCAGTGACTGCAACAAACGTTAAAATCAGCCAGACCAGAAGGAAACTAGCCATCAGGATACACGAACACCAGCTAGCAGCAAAACATGAACTTCCCCTCGTCTCAGTGCACTTGGCAATGAAGGCCATCAATTTAACTGGGATAACATAACCATCCTGTGTGTGGTTGGGTTGAGCTAGGAATTCCTAGAAGCCTGGTTTTCAACCCATAATACAAATCAACAAACATGTGGAATTAAACCATGCAGAACAGAACCGGAAATGAGAGAACCCAACTTAACAGACTGGATCATATAAATACCAAGCACAGTAGAATAACATTGCTTCAACAGAGGCCATTCTAGTGACATTATCTGCATGGTGATGAAACATCTGTATGATAACTGGCCAGCTTGGCGAGTAAGCCAACAACCTCATCCACAACCCGAGCTACAAATCTTCACAAGAATCTTAACTTACTCAGGATTTTATCACAACACTTCTGGTCTGGGGCTAACTAACTCTTCACTTTAAAGATGGACCTAGTTCACTGTAGATCCTTCCCTCCTGAGGAGCACTGGTCTGTATAGCCATCCTTGTCCAAGGACTTCACAGGACTCTGCCCAATCGAACTGAAAACTAAAATTTCTCCCTTTTCCAAGCTATGGGTGTTTCCCTGAAGCTTAAAAAGAATTCCACAAGTCTCTAACAAACTGAAGCCCCACTATTTACCTAGTCTCAAAACAATCCAAGGTAAACAATATATATTAGTGCTGCACAAAAATCCATTCACTCTGAAGCCAGGCCTCAAAAAAACTTGTAACTATTTTTATAGCCATGGGTGACTTCTTTTACACGTTAATGAACAAAAGTGGGTTTTAATCTGTATGAAGTTCCTAATTCAAAAATTCAAAAACTTATAAAGATTAATTCATTAAAAACATCAGTTTACATCACAATTCTAACATTTTGGAAAAAAAGGATTCCGGTCAAACAGTTGTATTTATCTATAGAGCCAAAAATCAGGAAAAATGGCATTACCACCAGCTTAATAGGGATAAAATATTTCCCAAAGTCAATGTTAAAAAGTTAATATTATTTGGTAAAAGCAATGACTTTTAAAAAATGTTCATCCAAATAACTGGCAAATCTAGTATAAAAGGATGACAAAGTACTCTAGACTGTACCTTGGAAGTTTGTTTCTACTGCAGATAAGCATAAACACTAGGATTTTTAAAAATAAAACGTCAGCTTTGAAAAGATTGAATATAACGAGAAGAAGATTGTTAATTGTATTTAAGTGAATTCCAGATAAACAAGATAAGCAGTCTGGTTTATTAAAGGTGCTTAGCAAATTTCTACAAAATTAGCATACATAGAAAGAGCTACTGAAAACTGAAATTAGAGGGGAGGGTAACAATATAAAAGGGAATGAATGCTAGGTTAGCAAGTGTATAAAAGTAATTACAGGATTGAATTTCCCAAAAAGCACAAGAGGAACCTTCTTATAAAGACGATGTGAAATGTATGTACTTTGACCTACAATGGCAGTAACAATTAAAAGTAAGGCATACCCATAGTTGGGCAAAATAGATATAGCATGAAAGCGATAACATTCGAGAGGAGAGGTGTAGCTCGAAACAGATCTGGGAGGAAAAGCATGTAAAATTCACAACCTTCATTGGTTACAGCTCCAATATAAATATTGTTGCCTGACATTTTAGGAGATAGCATGAAAAACTTTTCAAATTTACCTTTAGATCTTTGGTTGAATATCTATAAACCTGAAAAATGAATGACAATTCTTTTCTTTCACAGCAGTAGCATTTTATCATTTACAACTATTTATTATGAATGGAGTACTTTAATTATTATAACCTATTAAAAGATGTATTTTTTACTTGGGTAAAGCTATACACAATGGTAGATTATGGGGTGGCTCTACAAACATACTGCACTATTCCCTGTTAAATCAAACCCCAACTTTTAATTTTTCAGCATACTGAGATTTACAGATGCTAAAATCTGATTATAATGTGAGTCATACACATTTTTAAGTTAGACTTGGTTAATTAATGACAGTGAGAACTCATTTGCACTCATACTAACATTTCTTTTTGAAAAATTGACCAGCTTAGAAGAGATGACTAAGCATCCTTAGATGTTTATTACATTTAACAACAATTGTGCAGGTCTTAGTTGTTGACTGATTAGCAAGTGAATTACTGCAAGTTATTAGACTAAAGAATGACACCTTAAAACGCGAGCAACAAATGGAAGTCAGCACAAAATCTTGCTTATTTGCTCAGAAGTAGAAACTCTGGGGTTGGGTGGAGTAGCAATTTGAGACATGCAATCCTGATCATTGGTGCACTACAGATCAATTAAGGGGACCAGAGATCAATGCGTGCACAGGTGTTACAGTAATGCAAACATAAGAGTATAAGCAATACTAAGAATACTGATGGTTTAGGACTGTCGGTATTTTTGCAAACTGCACCTTGGAAACCAGTTTCTTTGATGGATGGTGAGCTTGAAGTACCTGAATAAACAAAAATCAGCTTTTAAAAAGATTTTTGAATGTATCCAAGTGAATTCCAGAAAAAATGTTGAGCAGTCTGGTTTGAGGATCCTATCTATAAACAGTGTAATATTTTGTTTATTGATATTAACACATGCTTAATTTATGAACAACTACTTTTTTTGACAAATTGTTGGCAAACGTTTCATAAATCAGCACTCAAAGGAATTGAAGTTCTGACTTTAAAATCTGAAAAAAAAACTAATATTATAGAATGGAGAGCAGCACAAATAAAATGAACACCTTCACAAAGAAAACCAACAGATGAAAACTTTTGTCCATACTTGTCATTGAATTTTTTTTATTGTATGTTAAAAAAAGTGCAAGGTGATCCAATAAATTACAACTATAAAGCCCTTTCTAGTTTGACAGAAAAAAGTGTCAATGAATTGTATGGATATCTTGCACTTACATCATTTAAGGGGAGCCAAAACTCTATGGCATGGGTCACTTGCACTTTGTGCAGAAGGGAGAAACATTCAATAAAGTAAGAGCGATCAATTTCCACAAATCCCTTTCATTATAAACTAGATGCAATTAGAATCAATTCTATTTGAAGTTATTTTCATTTATAGTAACAATTGTGCATTAAGTGCAAAATTTGATATTTGACAGCTAGTTTGATCTCCATTCTCATGAGTTCCATCTTCAACCATACTAAGACACAAGATATTTAACTATAAATATCTTTTTTTTTTTTAAAAAAAAGAGTTCTGTTCCACCTACTCACAACTAATCACAAAATGCAAAAAAAAGATTAATCCAATACTCAAGTGACTGCAATAAAAAGACTATATTCAACCAACCTGTTCAAATACAAAAATATTAAATTCAGGTTACAGCAATGGCATCCAGAGAAGATTAATCTGGATATTCACAAGACAGTGGGATTTAAAAGTCAGATTTCCTAGAAAGTAACCATAAGCCACTGGACACAACAGCAAATTCAAGACAGGTGCTGCTATATTCTGGAGAAGCAAAAACCACAAACCTTTGTATCATTACTCCACACTGGTACCAATAGGCTACAGGCACATATCTTGTATAGCATTGTGCTGGTACAGTTTACAGTATTAAAATGTCAAATAATCAAGTCTAAATAAACCACCAATAACTTTTGGGCTAGGTTACTCAACTTCCTCCATGTGTTTGTAAAAATACTTGTACCCCAAATTACAACATACATGCTTTTATCTATTGTGGAAAAAAAAGTATTTAAATAATAAATAGTACACAGTGCAATGTTTCAGAAACGTTGTTTGTTAGGTCTTCAAAGTAATATTAGGCATCTATAATGGCATGATATACTGAGTCAAAGAAATGGTGCAATTGTAGTTTTTTCCACTATTCATTATTAGTCAATATTTTTAGAGAATAATCTGATACAGACAACTAAATGACATACTTAATAGATTTTCAGATTGAATGTTGGTCCTCCTTTAGTACATGAAGCACATAAAAATATTGTACCATAGCTTTTAGAAAGTACATGGAAATTTTTAATATAAAAACAAAGCTTTAATTTCTTCAATTTGAATTACAACAGATTTTCAAACAATGCAGAAACATTCATATTTTGTTAGATCCTTACAAAATACATCGACATCTTGAAGTGTGCATTAGTATCTGCTTAAATATGTATTTCACATTAGATGCTACTCAGCAATGATCATATTACATCAGTGTCACAAACAAACTGCCCTCTTACCTATTTAAAATTCATTATCAAGAATACAGGAACAGTTTAAGTATAAAGAGGAGAGAACCACGACATTCTCAAGCTTGCTTTATTTTGTTATGTTTTCCCTCTTAAGATTCCAACTAAAAAGGATGCAGTGATATGTTAAGCAAATGATTCAGACCATCTCAAAATTTTCTCCTTGTCAAATCAGTGACAAACAGTATGTCTTAAATATCAAATGCCCAATTCCTTAAGTGGACAAAAAATGCAAAAGAAATGAAATGAAAAAAGTGCTATGTAAATATAAATTATGTTGTGGCTAATTGCTCAATAAATTTGAGAGCTTGCTCAGCATTTCATTTTTGAACCACACTAAACCAAACATGCAAGCAATGAGGAATTCAGTGCATGTGGACTAAACAAAACGCCAACCTACAATTCAAGTCACCCCAAGTCAGTTGCCTCAAGCTAAATTCTCAGTTATGTCCTTGCAACTTGTCAAACTTATATCCCCTTCAGTTTTGTGCTCAGAATCCAAAATAACTGTAGTTATACCTTGGGATTCTCAAAGATGCGCAAAGACACATTTCAGAGTTATACTGCAAGTTTAAAAAGGAACCGTAAATAAATTACTTCCAATAAAACCTGGCCTTTTCAATTGAATTTACTTAATAGTTAGCAATAATAAAGTTGAACTGTGTTATTTATAGTAACTTGCAATAAGCTAGTTCTGCAAATCAAACTCATTCTTAACCAAAATCTTGCAAGTTGTGTACCCACTCCAGATGGCCAAATGCCTGTATTTAGATCAATCAAATTCTATTCAGAAAGTCCAGTTTCAAGATTTCAGGAATTTTAATCTTGTCCAGGTTCACCGGTGAAGGAATGATCGGAAAATTTACAGCAAATACATGTTTTAACTCCATTAGCAGACGGCGACTTGGACTTCTACCTGCCAACCGATCCTGTGCAAGACACAACATCCAGCATAACTATTTATTTCCAAGTGTGGTACAGGTTAGTTTATAGAGAGGAGTTATTAGTTTTGAAATATCTAATTCATCTGAAAAGCAATAAGGTTTAAATCTAGGTTGCATTCCATGGGCAAGATAACTAAATTATAGAAATCATGGGAATACACTATCAAAAAGATCACAAGGCCAAACTCCCTGCCAAAAACCAATTAAGCTTAGTTCAGTATTTAATCCAGTAGTCAACTCAGTACAAAGTTTCCATGCTGTCCAATAGAAAGATCTCAAACTGACTTTTTTTTTAGGGAGGACAGAAGAGAATACACTGGTTTATTTAACAATAAAAAAGCAATTTACAGAAGGCCCAGCCACATGGTAGATTTGGGATCACATTTAATCAAAGATTAACGCCATTATTCACAAACAGAGGCAAATTACCTTTACTCTATAAATAAGCACTGCCAATCAATATATTCTGAAAATAATTGATAAGGCATGCTGATTATGTAGTATTGTACTACCATTAATTACACTTGCTCAAGAAGAAGCGCTAAAAGCATTTATATTTGATTGTTCAGGAATTCCAAGGGAGCAGGGTAGATTGTATTGGCCCAGTTGCAGTACATGTTGCTTTATTGAACAGTGAAGACAAAACCTAAATCATAGTTTAGTCAATATGCATTAGAAACTTTGCAAAAATCTTTGCCCCAAAATCCTCCCACCTCTCAAACCATCTCACTTTTCAAACAGTAGTCAAAAGGCAAAATAGAACTTTACAAAAAAAATTAGATGGTCACATGATAATTCTAAAATTAGGCTTAGATTACTGAATGTTTGCAACTGAGTAATCAACATTAAAAAATATTTACCTGAATATTTTTTATAAAAGCTATAGTCACACGCTCCTCAAATTCATTAACAGGTGTATATAGAGTCAGAATTTTCACAATCTGTTACAAATCAAAGGGTAAAAATGAATTAGAAAGAAAGCTTATTAGTTTGGAATACTAAATACCAGAAGAGGACAGGTGCTGCAAGGTAATAGGCAAGTGAACCTAACTACATTAAGCATTGTCACTTGAAGTTGTGTTTTTGAAACACATGATCAGTGCCTATCCAGATTTTGGAGATTTCAAAACTGCACCTCAGAGATCCTCCTTTGGGGAAAATAACAGTCATCCTTGTTTACCCACTTGGGTGCTAACAATAGTCATCTAATGCAAGTTTCTCTCAAGCTGTCCAGAGGATAGATCTACAGTTGGGTACTCAGGTCTTTACTGAAAGCATGTGGAGGACTGACAACAGAACGACAATAGCTTCCAAGCAAAAGTTTTAGGGATGGAGCCTTATTCCAAACACTGTCCTCTATGGGCTACCAAATTGTAACGCTAGCGTTCAAAATTTGGTAGGCTTAGTCGATCATCTCCAGCATTACTTGACCATTGTCATGTCCAGCAGCGCCTGGAAATTTGTTGTAAGGTTCCAGAGCCTTAAAAAACAACATGGTACTCACTCTCCTCAGCAGCAAGGTGGCCCTGTTCAAGTCAGCCTAAGAAAGTTACTTTCTGTACAGGGCTATAATTTTGGAATCATGTGCTGAAGCTGAAATTCCATTTAGCTCTGACAAAGGAATGGGCTCCTTCTGCTGATATCCTGGGCAAGGATCATATTGACCTTTTTTCTATCCCTCAAGTATGCAATTGTTCTTCTAATAATAAGAAATGATGATTCCCAGACAAAATAACAAATAGACATTTATCTTTTGTTTAGCTATGTTGTTTCCCCACCTATTACCTGTTAGCTCAACGAACAATACAGATGTCTATTACTCATGAGCATTATCAAAAAAATCTACAACAGATGCAAAATGAAAGGAAATTAGAGAATTCCACAAAAACACCCAATGATTCAGTCACCTGTGCCTTCCATGTTATGGAACACGCGTTTCAAATTATTTGTAATATTACAAAAAAATTGATTTGCATTTGCAAGAATCAACGTTACCTGCTCCATAGTCTAAAAAAAGCTACTCAGTGGCTTCACCGCTTGTTCACAGAAATTGTGTTATGCATTAGTTTTGAATATTTGTCTCAGACACTTTGTACAGTTCTGATCTAGGATATCCAGTTACTTTGGAATAAGAATGCTATGATTTCAAGTGGGAAAAAGCAACCCAATTAGAGTAATTGTTCTTCACAATCTTAGAACTCTTCCTCCCCTCCAGTCATTCTGGTTGTTCTCCACTATATCATATCAATTGCTACAATATCCTTTTTGATCTCAAGACTAGCAATATGTACACATTCCCCAACTATGCCTATCATTCCAACAGCATTTTCATTCTCATCTTAAAGACACTCCTAAAGAACAAAGAACAATACAGCCCAGGAACAGGCCCTTCAGCCCTCCAAGCCTGCACTAACACATTTTGCCCTTCCATTCTAAAACTGGTCTTCACTTACAGAATCTATGTCCCTCTATTCCCTTCCTATTCATGTAATCATCCAGGTGCTTCCTGAATGCTGCTATTGTGTCTGTTTCCACCACCTCCTCTGACAGCACGTCCTCTGTGAAAAAGGTACCTCACACATGTTTTAAACTTACTCCGCATACCTTGAACCTGTCCTCCCCAAGTAGTTAGCCCCTCTACCCTGGGAAAAAATGCCTCATACTTTCCACTCTATGCATGCCATTCACAATCTTAAACTTACGTCAGGCCGCCCCTCAACCTCCTGCGTTCCAGGGAAAACAAGACCAGTCTATCTAACCTTTCTTCATAGCTAAAATCCCGCATACCAGGTAACATCCTGGCAAACCTTTTCTGTACTGTCTCCAAAGCACCCACATCCTTCTGGTAGTGTGGTGACCAGAACTGTACAGAAATGTTAAACCATTTCTGGAGTCTAACACTGTTTTAAAAACAAAAAGCACTGTCCAATATTTTTAGGTGGCTGTGGTATATATGCTTAAACTACAGTGAAGTGAACCATACCTGCGTCTTTGAGAGTGCTGTGCACATTGAACAGATTGCCTCAGCATCCTCATCAGTTGTTTTATTCAATTGCAAGAGCTGCGTAGCTTGTATCAGTGGCTCCAGTATCTCAAGTGCACCACTCTGATGTAGATTCTTGCCTCTTAGCCATTCAATTAGATGGCTGACATTGTTTCTGCATTGGGAAGAGCAAGAGGATGATGACAACTCCAAATATTTCAGCAATCCAAGTAACAAAAGGCTCACCTAAACCAAAGATTACAAGCTTTTAAACTGTCTGACAAACTTGATGACATAATAAATAACCATATAACTCTAAGGAAAGAGTTGAGCTCTTTGGCCAATGTTTGGACCAAGGCTATAATGAGGTCAGAGGCCAAGTGGCTCTAGTGGAACCAAGCTGAAGTCAGTGAGAAGCTCATGTTGAGAAAGGGTTGCTTGATAGACCTATCAATGACCCCTTCCATCATTTCACTGATGATCCAGAGTAGATAGATATGTGTTAGTTACTGGCCAGGTTGGATTTGTCCACCTTCCACATTGCTGGGTAGATGCTAGTATTTTAAGCTGCCCCATTACAGTTAAACTAGGGGCATAACCAGCTCTGGAGTACAGCTACTATTACTGAAATGCTGCCAGGGCTCAGTCTTTGCTGTATCTAATGAGTTTTGCAGTTATCACATGATGCGAATCAAACTGATAGAAAACTTGCACCATATGATACTGGGAATCTCTGGACAAGGCACATAGTTAGGTCATCCACTTAGTACTTCAGTCTAAAGAAGAATGCAAATGCTTCAGCCTTGTCCTTTGCACTGATGTTCTGGGAATGGAGATACTTTGGGGCAGCAGAGTTGAGCTTAGGCTGATGTGGTACCGGCAGCATCAGTGGTGTCTGCATTGGACTCAGTGGCAAGAGTGTCGGAGGCAAGATGGCACCAAAGTGTGGTAACTTTCATTCCGGCAGTGGTAGCGTGGTGAAGGGGACTCATGCCTGCATCACAGAAAGGACATCGAGAGTACTCAGCAGTCAGAAGAGGCTGCTTGGCTAAGTGAGCTACCATAGCTAGATGCAGGAGGGACAGACATTTTCCAGTTGAATTTCATCTTGCAGCCAGCTAAAGATTCTGGAAGATTGGACTTGCTCATGCCTCAAGTGAAGGCAAGATGGTGGTTGAGGATTAGAACGCTGAAAGCTGCATGAAAAAAGCACCTGGAGATGACCACTCAATGGTGAAAGGGGTATATCAGAATCCATTAAAAACTGAAAGCAACTGAACTATTTGCTGTAAAGGCTATAATTCTGTGGAAGGCATAACATGCGAGAAATTTAAAAGGGAAATGTTCTTTGCAGTTTAAAGTACAAGTCATCTACTAAAAGTAGGTTTCATCAATTGTGTTTTAAGTTATTTGTTACTTAAAATTGTCATTTGTAAAATATTGATGCCATTCTTCCAACTATTAACTGGAGGTTCAAATTTCCTATATAAAAGTTATTGATCTAAATGGGAATTAAAAGCATTTACACATTTCACTAAGAAGCACTTCTTGGCAATCTTAACATTCACTTTAAACACATCAATAGAAAGGCTTTTAGGACTTAATACTCACCATTTTTCACAACTGTAATGGCATTTTGTGTGGTTTAGCAACACACCACAGGATGTTTGTCGTCTCAGCAGAAAAGACCAGATCATAAATATTGTAAGGTGATAATTTTCATTTCAAAGATGATTGCACAACAGTAATAAATGGGGACAATACTCCAAAATACTGTTCCAATTTTAGAGCATTAACGTAGCTTGTTCAAATTGAAGATTTAACTGAATAACTTGCCTGCCCCCTTCCATTATCAGGAAAATGACCCTTAATTGTTGTGCAAACATTTACATCTTAAATATGCCAATGAAAATAGCAAGTCTTTGTTTTGAACTGCAGTATTGAATTTCAATCTGTCTCCACTATATTCATGGTTAGCTCAAAAGTATGGGGGGGGGGGGGGGGGGGGGGGAAAATGACTGAAATTATAAGGGTTTAATTTTCAGCACAATTCTGTGCAGTTGGCAAATCCATCCAATTGAAAAAAAAACTTACTGCGACAATGGTTAAATGTTGACAAGACTAGCCAGAAATACTGCCACCACCCAGGATAAACAAAATGCCATGGTCATGCTGTCAGCAAAGTGCAGAGCTCTCACATCTAACACTCCTACATCCTGTATAGTAGGCTTGTGATGGAACACCGGGACTGCAGTATTCCACACAAACTGACCCACAAGATGTCAAATCTATGCATGACCTACATTAGAAAAGAAGCCATTTTCAGTGCATTCCTTATTTACATTGTGAACCTAGAAACTCCAGAAAAGCAATTCTAGTTGCTGATTATGTTATTAAATTATGTCATCCATATATCAACTGCCAATTTAGCTGAAACAAAAAAAACACCTAAACTGAAACTTGTTTGTTGTTCCGAATTAAGTCATCTGCCCCTCAGACATTGACCAATGCCAGGGTTGATGTCAGTTGCTTTTTTAAAAAAAAAAAAATTCATTTGTGGGGATGAGGGCATTGCTGGCTAGGTCAGCATTTATTGCCCAGAGGACAGTTAAGAGTCAACCACATTGCTGTGGTCTGGAGTCACACGTAGGCTTTCCCCAAAAGGACATTAGTGAACCAGATGGGTTTTTCACAAATCAACAGATTTATGATCGTTAGAACTCAATTTCAGATTTTTATTGAATTCAAATTCCACCATCTGCCATAGGAGAGTTTGAACCCAGAAGTCTGAATTAACAGTCCAGCAATAATACCACTAGTCTATTGACTCCTACAGCAGTTAAGTACATTAATCAAGCCATGATCATTCGTCTTCCTTTTTAACCATCTGGATTCCTACTACAAAGTAGAATAATTTTTGAAATGGTTGCCAAGAACTCGAGCAGATTTTATTTTACCTGATTTGGACTCCATTGCTGAAGGAACACACATCCTTCCTGAGAAGCAAGTTGTTCAGTGTGACTGCTGTAATTATGTAGTAAATCTGACGGTAAACTTGTTTAATAATTTCAGGATGCAAACCATATTTGGAGAGGATATTGTGGAACAAGCCTAGTTGGTGAATGATGGAGTTCAGTGTGAATGTCGTATTTTCTCCAGAAAGACTTCCTGTTTTCTTTCTATAACCTGCTGGCTTTGCGGTTACAATTGAAACACTCCAAATGGTATCATTTTCTAACATTCCAGGCACTGTAGACAAATTAAAAACAAACTTTACTGTTAAGAATTATTCTTGTTTAAAACCACCACACATTTCTCTAAATCATATTAGAGACACAGGATATATTTCAGAAAATTACACCACAGAACTTCACTGATGGCTGACTTAATTAACATTTTGCATTTCAACTGCAAAAACTGTGTGCCAAAAATTGAACGCCATTGTTCCACAAAAATGTCAGTTATAGAACAGAGGTGATCCATTTGCCTGACTGACTGCTATTCTGGATAGGAACAATTCACACTACATTCCATCATTAACAGAAAAATAACCATTATAAACACACAATTTCAACAAACAGCACAGAAAGTTACTAATCTACTACCAAGTGTACTACAAACTATTCCCCTTTGATAAGGCCCAAAACACATTTGTGAATAAAACAGACAAGACAGTCAGTTCGATAAATTATGGGTGGTAAAATATAGACAGGCACAAAAAATTCCTGAAGATCACAATCCAGATATGAAGTGTGGGTTAAATTCCTTTTGATTTTCCCACATGGGATTTAGGGTGAACTTGTCAGTTGGATACAATATTGGCTCAAAAGGCACAAGACAGAGTGACGGTGGAGGGCTGTTTTTCAGACTAGAGGTCTGTTACCAACAGTGTTCCACAGGGATTGGTGTTGGGTCCAATTGTGTGTCATATATAGAAGTGATTTTGATGAGAATATAGAAGGCACGGTTAGTAAGTTTACAGATAACACCAAAATTGGTAGTATAGTGGACAGTAAAAGGTGATTACCTAAGATTACAAAGAGATCTTGATCAATTGGGTCAACGGGCTGAGGAGTGGCATATGGAGTTTAATTTGGATAAATGTGAGGTATTGCATTTTGGTAATACAAACAAGCACAGGACTTAAACAATTAATGGTAGGGCCCTGGGTATTGTTGCAGAATAGAGAGACCTAGGGGTTCAGGTACATAATTCTTTGAAATTTGCGTCACATGTAGATAGGGTGATTAAGGTGGCATTTAGCATGCTTGCCTTCATTGTTCAGGCCTTTGAGTATAGCAGTTGGGATGTCATGTGGAGGTTGTACAGGACGTTGGTGAGGCTTCTTCTGGAGTACTATGTCCCATTCAGATTGCCCTGTTACAGGAAGATTATCAAGTCTGAAACAGTTAAGAGATTTACCAAGATGTTGCTGGGAATTGAAGGTTTGAGTTAGGAGGGGAGGCTGGGACTTTTTCTACTGGACCATAGGAAGTCAAGGTTTATAAAATCATGACGGGTATATATAAAAGGTGAATAGCAATGGTCCTTTCCCTAAGGCAGGGAATTTCAAGATTAGGGGGCATATTTTTAAGGTGAAAAGAGAAAGATTTAAAGGCATGAGGGGCTGTTTTTAAACAGAAAAAGTTGGAATGTGGAATGAACTTCCAGGAGGAAGGGGTGGATGCAGGTACAGTTACAACGTTTAGAAAATGTTTGGATAAGTACATCAATAGGAAAGATTTGGAGGGATAAGGACCATGCACAGGCAGGTGGGACTAGTTTAGTTTAGGAACATGGTCAGCCTGGACCGGTTGGATCAAAAGGGTCTGTTTCCAAGCTGTATGATTTTGACCTCCAATGGTGCTACATTCAAAACTACCTTAACAGGCAGTGTATGTAGAAATGTTAAGCTGTGCAGATTAATTTTAAAAAATTCTGTTACTGGCAATAATCATAAGTACTGCACTTGCCAATCATTTCTTGAAGCTTTCCTTCTGCAACTTTGATTAATTGATGGTAAAGTTGAACAGCAAGATCTGACAAAATCAGACAATGTTGGGAAAGGTCGAAGTTTCTCAAGACATGTTTTCGTTGTTCCGGTGTGTTCATTTCCACAGAGTTCTGTTAAAAGAAAAATTTTTGGACTTCACACTTGCAGCTGAAGTTATGGTATGTTTGAATATCTTTGCATCCATGCATTATTACTGCTGAGTCAAAGTGCGCAGTGTTAAATTCTGAACCTTCAGTTGATAGTATGGGACCTTTACAAGCACAAGTTATATATGACACATTTATTTGACAAAGGATCATTCCTGTTAGTTCACTTAAAAGTGACTGTTTCTTCTGTAGTAACTTAACCATTGCATCATGATCCAACCAGTCAGAAGCATCATGCAATTAAACTGTGCTGCAGTACTAAATACACAAATATAGTTTTGAAAATTCAAAACGGGAGACTAAATTAAAGAGAAATATTAGCATCTTAGTGACATTGGGGCAGTTATGTCATAATCACATTCTTTTAAAGACAATGATCAATATTTAGCAATTGTCTAATCTAATTTAAACTTTTGTATTAACCTTCTTGGCCTCTCAAAATACTCACCTCATCTCCACTATACTGCCTTAAGCAGACCAACAAACGATACGTGTTAGATAGCCAGAATGCCACCATCTCAAAATCAGAACTTCTCTAAAATTAAAACCAGATGTACAAGGTCAGTCATACAATAAATGCTCAGCTTTCCATCTGCTTTCAATTGGAATCATTAGTTAAACCAATTAAGCCACCATCGAGTATGTCCCATAACAACAACAGTTACATTCACTCAACTTCCTGCTATGTTATCTCCTCACATAATACACAATTGGTGTTGATGTGCAGAAAGCTAAATTACTAACCACTTGAAGGTTATTAGAAGAACATGTT